AACAGGGCTAAAAAGTTAGTGTAAAGACGGCAGGTCAGCGGCGTTCCCGCAACCACGTGTCACTTGCGAACATAATCAAAATACTCAAAACGTATAGATTTTCGACGAAATTTGTTAATATACTACTATAAAAACATTGGGTCAATGATTTCGAGTTCGAATTTTACCTTAATCGTTGTTGAATTGCTCGTTTAATCCGCAAGAACTCGAAGAACCTTGGATAGGGTTTGAGAGAATTTTGAATTTTCTTAAGAAAAGTTACAAATGAAATAAAGTCGCACTGCAAGGCGGTAAAAGTTGTTCTATGAATAGCATTTCAGTATATAATATATATGTATGGGACGAGCCCAATAGAGTTCTGGACCGAACCTCTCAAGAAATCCAAAATGTGTACTCATTTATTTAAAACGAAAAGGCTGAAAATAAGCAATTCTGCTCCTATATTAATTTAATTTAATTTTCATTTTTTTTAACAAAACACACTAAAATAAAACCATGTTCTCATAAATATCTCCACATAAAAAAAATTCATAATCATTAAATGATTAAATTGTAAACTCTACATTATTTCCATCATTTGAAGGCAAGTTTAACTTGCATTCGACAAGCTCTCTACATTTTTTTTTCTTCCGAAAAAAAAAACGATATATGACTTGAACGTCGAAGAATAATTGTCGAAACAAATCCAACGAGTCAGTAACCTAGTGTCTGCATTTGTGTCGTAGGTCGTTTGACGGTTACATTATTTTAATTACAAAAGATATTTAAGTTAAGTTTTATAACTAATAATTCTATTTTCCAATGGCTGCGCCTAATATCTTGATTTAATTCTTGGGAAAAAAAGGCTTCAAAACATAAATGTAAGAACACCTACTTAATTCTAATTTCCTAGCCATACCAAAATATGGTCTATTTTATGATACACCGCGTAGAACTTTACCATTCAGAGATTCAAACACACACACCCATATTGGTGTGTGTAGATCGACGGTCAAAGAATCACCAGATATGGCAGAGAAATAACCACCAAAACATAGTACATACTAAAAATTCTCCTTATATATATAAAACAAAATATGATACAAACATGTAAGAACCAAATTGACAAAGGCACAATTTGGATTAAAAATCACAATATTAACTCTTCGTAACTTCCTAACAAATCTATCTGAGAAGGATCGTAAAACGAATCCGAAGAAAAAATCCCTTCGAATTGCTCCTTCATTTGAGAGGTGAACACATCTTCAAAAGGCCCCAATAGAGATTCCGAACTAGTTGTGGTTTCGTCCGACGGAGAAATCGACGAGAACATTCGATCGTTGTCGTTCGCCAAAGACCGATCAATTTCGCAGAAATCTCTAAATACTTCATTGTTGATATTGTTGCTCTCCTCCATGTACTGCGATATGTCGGAATTCTTACCGGTGAGTTGTTGCACTAGCGACCGGAATTTCGAGGCGCTAGTTTTAACTTTCATCGGGCTGGAGATGTACACCACTTTGAGAGAGTTGTTGTTCTTTCTCTTCACACTCTTCTTTTGGCTCTTTATTTGATCCATTTTAGTGAGGGTTTTTTTCTTTTTGGTAATTGATTGTTGAAGAAAAAGGTGAAAAGAAGTTTGTAATAAATTCACAAGTTGATGAATGGTATATATAGGTATATATGTGGACATACTTAGGTAATGCAATAAAGGGTGTTTCTTGGAAGGAGATAATATTGAATATAATGAACAAAAATTGGAAAAAAAAGAATTGATTGATTGGGAAATGGGAAGGGTGGAGGAAATAGGGATAAATAGAAGTTTCTATAAAAAGTACTTGGATGACCCGCAACCTCAATTTTTTAGGGAAAATTGCACTTTGCACCCTTAAAAATGTTTTTTTTGCACTTTCTCCCCTAAAAGAAAATACAATAACTAGACTACTTTTTAGCTTCCCTTGAAATGTACAACTCGATGCACTTTTCCCCAAATTTATGTATTTCCAATCTAATTCTTGCCGGATTTGAGTAATTGGGAAAGAAAATCATGCAAATTATCAAAGATGCTTTTATGGGATATGATGGTGCAAAAATAGAGAACAAATTATATCGAATTTGGAGAGGATTTCGTCGGATTTGGGAAATGAGGTTTGTTAAATTTTGGAACCCTAAGTAACTGAGTATGAAAGGAGGATTTTAAAGAAGCATGAGAAGTAAAAATGACTCATACACCTTTAATCTTAATCCGGCCAGAATTCGACCGGAGATACACATTTGGTGCAAAATGCACCGAGTTGTATATTTCCAAGGGGAACAATCTAGTTTTTCTGTATTTTGAGGGGGTAAAGTGCAAAAGAGGCGTTTTTCGGGGGGGGGGGGCAAAGGGCAATTTACCCTTTTTTTTTAGAAAAAAAAAAAAAGAAAAACTCTGTATTATTGCTTATAATTATACAATATATCTGTCAAACTATCAATCAGTAAAAAATAAATTAGAAAAAAAAAACAATAGTTATGAAATAAGTTAGCTTTAATATTAAAACTTTAGGCAAAATCCTATGATTTGGAGTAAACAGGGATACCTTTTGTCCTTTGACCATGAATAAGGTAAAAATTGACTCCAACGGACATTACTTGAAGAAATTGTTGATATTTTAATTCCCACGTGCGCAGCCTTTCGGGACTTGGGGAAAAAATCTATGCAGAAAAAATACGTGGCGCAATATTATTGGTTGGATGATATAATAATATATTATTTTTTTGGACTATTGTATTATTTATTTATTTATTTATTATTATATGCTCAATAATTGGGCCCTTAAGGCTTAATGGATAATTCTATTTATTTATATAATTTCGTCTTTGGGTAAACATGTTTTGTTTTCGGTTCAACTTTTTCTAGAACAACTTTAATTCAATTCGTGATTATATATTTATATATATGTGATATTGAGTAAATTCTTGAAATTACCCTTTGATGTTTGACCTTTTTTCACAATATATATTTTAAATTTATGAAATATAATAGATTATTAAATACACTTTACTTTACGTATGCAAACCTATCTAGCACGAACACGGAAACGCGGACACGGTGAAATGGGAAAACTGCGTTTTCCAAAAAGTTGGATATGGAAAACGGTGGGAAATGTATAAATATTTTAAAAATATATGGATGGATTCATAATTTCTAAAAAGTATTATAATGTTTACACTTATATATTTATCGTTCCGAATTATCATTCCACAAATTACATTCACCTCATATAAATTTTTTTTGGTATGGAATTAGCATTTACAAAAAGAATCTTAGAATAACCACTAGAAGTAAAAAATAGACATAACATTAAAGAATTTTTTAAGTGTATGTGATTCCGAATTTTTATTTAAAATGGGTTTAGAATTTTTTTTGGAAACGCTTCATTCTTTCCTTATTACAAAAAATGTCCCCAAAACTTTTAAATCTTTACGGAAATAGCCCCAAAACGTTTCTGCAAGGTGTCATGGAGTTTCAATTTCCGAAACATGTAAACGTGTGTGGGTAGAAGTTTCCGTGCATCATAGATGCTAACAAATGTTTTTACGTGTCATCATCCTCTAGTATCACATTTCAAATTAATACACTGGAAAGGCGCATACTCCAACCTAGTCCTACAGTGTGTATTCAAGCGCCCAAAAAGAAAATAAATCAACTTTCGGTTCTCTTTAGTTGAGTTCAACACACATGTAATTAAGCGCCCAAAACTAAAATAAATCGAACTCCCGGTTCTCTTTAGTTAAATCACACCGATTCACAACATGAATTTTTAATGAAAAACAAGGAAAAATACTTGTCCAACAATTGTAGCAATGACAAAATACAAGCCAAAGTTTTCTTTATTACCCGATCGATGAACTAGGCAGCAACACTAAAAGGCAGATCCACATGGAAACGAAAGAACTCAGAAGTAGTTGCCTTTGTAGAAGTTTTTCAAGAAATCGGATGCGCCCTGGTCTTTGGTTCCTACATCTTGACTTTCTTCATGAGGTAAAATATACTGACCGAGGATGTGGTGTCTCTGCTTTGCATGCTCCACGATATTACTCAGCTCCTCTGTTCCCTTGAAGAGCAGCATATCGATCACCTGCACGCACAGTCAGCGAGAAGTATTAGAAAAATTGAATTTTGTTCCAAATTTCGCTTCGTCTCGTGGAGCAGTATCAACGATCAATAATACAGATTCGTCCCTAGTTGATTACTTGGTGAATTCACATCACACAAGTTGTAAATCTTTGTTTCGGAACAAAAATTTACTCGTTAGGAAATTAAAAATTTCAACACTGATATTATAGATTACTCCGTTTCAGTGGTTCTTGCTTCCCCTTGTTCCTGTTTCTAACTCTTCCCGGGGTAGTTCTTTTAAAATTCGGAAGTAAATTACTTTTAGAAGATTAAGAACTCAACACATTAAACTTGCATCATTTGTATCAGGTACAAGGTTATCCGTATTGAACTTCTTCAAAATCGCACTCTATGTGGCTAAACAGAAACATAGAGGGATGTCCTTCCAAAATAGTGAGTATAGTAATTTCTTGAATAAGGAAATACGTATGTTTAACTAGGTTGTTAAAGATTTAACAACTACAATTTGGTTCTTTTATGTGCTATCTTCCAAAAAAGACAATGTTAGTAGGTTATCCTCAACGCTTTTCCTCGGTTATGCCGTTATGTTAGCAAAGTCTAGGGGCACTTATTTCTAAGTTCTATTCCAGTCAAAGAAGCCACTTTTGTAGACACTTTAATTCTTTTTTCTACTTTCCATCAAAAAAAAAAAAAATCTTTGTTCTACACAAGGTGGTTTATAAAGAGAAACAAACTGTTTGGTTTGTGATATTAATTTTAGGCTACATTCAGTAATTCAATATGAAGAAACTAAAGGTTCTTGATACTACCGTCATATCATTTTTCAACCAAATCAAGACAGGCCCAAAAAAGTACACGTACATTATACACGCATATATTATATAAATATAGGGTAAATTACAACCGCCCCCCAAGGTATGGTCAATTTACGAAAAAATCCCTCTTGTTTGGATAATTACATCTACCCCTCAACTATGATTTTTTCTTACATCTCCACCCTTATGGTGTCAAATTCAACATAATCATCTAGATTTCGTGGAACGTGCTCTAGTTTGTACTCGTTTTGTGTAAAAATACAATTTCTAATGCACCACAATCTAATATATACAAGGCAAAAAACACATATTATGATCATCTTCTTCAAAATGTAGAGTTCGAATGGGATAAAACGGGTACAAAAGTGATAATATTCCATATAATCTCGAAGATTCCACTAAATTTGAAACCGCAAGGGTGGACGTGTAAGAAGATTCATAGTTGAGGGGTGGTTGTAATTACCCAAACAGGAGGGGAGTTTTCGTAAGTTGACCATACCTCAGGGGTGGTTGTAATTACCCAATAAATATATGTACGAGGATCCAAAGATCACTTTCAGCATCACTTAGAATTGCCAATAACATACAAATTATTTAATCCGGTTTGCATCGCTTTTGAACCAACACAATGTATGTGGCAGTATACATTCTAACCATGAATTGGATAAAGCTGTATCTGCTACTATACTACATTTCCTATAGCTGCATTGTGACTAGCATGTATGTATCAAAAAAGTATATCAATATGCACTAATTCTATCGAGAAATGGAAAAGAATCAGAAATGATTGCACTGCTGTGTTCAGTTATAACTAGTCGAATTGACGACCAATATGAAGATGAGTCCAGCAGCAAGAATACCAGTTTAAACATCATCCAAACTTCTAGAGTTCATGATTGTTTTCTTTTATTTTTTTCTGAAACCATAAGACCCGAAAAAGTAGAACACTAATTTCTTATTTTAGTAACGATAGAAGCTGGGTGCAGACATCTCGTCACCTCTTTGTTTTCTAGTAATTCTTCTTATTTCTTTATGTTTAAGTATACATCCACTACTGAACCTGGGCTGACTCTAATGTTTAATTCGAACAACTGTACAAATGTAATTCTACTATCATATCAATATTTACCAAATTATACTTTTTCGACCCATACATGTCGAAAACATTCTCGTTTGCTTTAAACTTTGCGCATTTAGAGTATCCTCAACTTCTGCCTGCCATCGTTGCAGGGTCAAGCTAATTTTCCCTAACAGTCGAATTATATCGGATGGAATCACACAACCAAAACAACAATTGTTAAAAATAATATTACGGAACGATCCCAGAGCAAAACGTCGCATCTCGTTAAAGTTATTTATAGTCGATCCATCTAACCAAATACAAGCTCAATCGCAAACTAATCGGCAAATATTATTCGCACACATCCAATGTATGGTAACAAATACTATCCCTTCCACATAATTGACCTCTTCGAATAGGAATCGACGAAAACAAATCATCGCAATTTCAATATCAATAATTCCAAATCAAATTCTAATTCCAAATCAAAGATATCAATTTCCTCAATACCAAACACCGGGTAAATACGCAAAATATCCTCAATTGAATAGCTGAAAAAAAAAATGGCAATAATGAGAACGGAAGAGAGTAAAATGGAGCAACACCTGGGTGTTGGTGACGTGGGCGTTTTTGCGGATCTCGGCGGAGATGGTGGAGCGGAGCTGCGAAGGGGAGGAGACGTCGTCCAGATTGTAGATATCCATGATGGTGGGGATGGATCTGCACGCCGTCTTGAAGAACTCGAACACGCGCTGACGCGCCTCCGCTATGTTCGCCGAGTTCGGCGGCACGCGCACAAACTTCAACGACGACGCCATTTTTTGGGGGAAATTTGGTTTTAATTTTTGTCACGCGCTCACGCGCCTCCGTCTATGACTCAGAAATGAAGGGTATGCGGGGAGGGAGTGGGGCAACTGGAGAATGGGGCTTTCTCTCCTCTTTCTTCCTCGTTATTCACTTGGCTATGGGTAGAAATGTCATTTCACCCATATTTGGTGCTATATTCACTAATTTGCCCCTTGGAAAGATGATTTAAAAAAAACAAATTGATACCATATTTTGGGTGCTAAATTTCGTTTCAATTTAATCAATATGGTTTATAAAAAAAATAAAAAACCTCTAAAATTTACATAACTCTCTTATCCAAACTCCGATTTAGCTAATTCAGATTGATTTGAAAATTATATATAAAGCATACAATTTTGATGTGCTAAGTTTTCTGATGTCTGAATTTGTAAAATGGTTAAAATTAAGATTGAAGTTGAGTGATTGTTGATTGGGGCTATGTATTTTCAGTGCTTTTATCCAACATCTAATATAATTGATCGAAATTGGATTACAAAATCAACAAAAAATATTAAAATTTTGATGTTTTGAACTTTACCAAATTCAGACTTAATTATAATCAAAATTACATTTGAAATTGATTTATCGTGCATATTCCTTTTGGACAACAATTAATTGTAAAAAAAATAATTGTTTTTCTACCTACGAGGTTAAGCTTATTGAACTAAACCAGACACTTTTTTTTTTTTTTTTAACGAAATGAGAAGGGAAAGTATATTCTTCAAAAAAAAAAAAAAGAGAAGGGAAAGTATACTTATTCAATTTAATTACAACTCTTGAATTGATTTTAGAAGATAAATGATAGGTGGGATTAGATAAAATTTGAACAATGTATAATATTTTAATTTTTGGGATGCGATAAATGTTGTTTCAATTTTAATAATGTCGGTTTGACTTCAAGTATGATTTTGACAAATTTTTCATGCTGAATTTGGCAAAACTCAAAAAACAAAATTTTAGTTCTTTGAGTTAGTTTTCTAATCGAACATGAATCGTCAAAATTGGATGTTCGATGAGAAATATATGCATGAATCAATGACCACTTTCCATAATTTTAATGTTTTAATTTATCTAAAATTCAAAATAAATTTATTGATGCATAACTCTGTCACGCGACAATCTAGTTGATTTAAGTTGTGGATAAAGTTATCCTAAAGGCCAACAATTTATGTATTTTGAACTTTGCCAATATTCAATTAGGAAAAATGTCAAAATTACGTTCGAAGTCTAAATAATATCCGTAAAATCGAAACAACATGTGACATTTTAGATTAAATTAATGAATAATGATTACCTCATCAAACACTTAAAATGCATCTAAATAGTATAAACTTATATATACATTCATACATAAAATATTAAACTTTTGACATTTTAATTTAATTTACATGACATTTATCGGTAAAAAAAAATATGAAATTTTCTAAATTATTTTTAAAAAATTATATTAAGGTAACCTACGACCACATCCGGAGTAAAGTCAAATTACGAAAAAAATGCGAATGTTTGGGTAATTACAACCACCCATCAACTATGAATCTTCTTACATGTTTACCCTTGCGGTGTCAAATATAGTGGAATCTTTTAAATTTTATAGAATACTCTCAAGTTTGTATCCATTTTATCTCATTCGAGCTCCATATTTAAAAGCAAGATGATCATATGATGCGTTTTTCGGCTTGTATATATATATATATATATATATATATGGTGCATCAGAAAATGCATTTTGGCATAAAACGAGTGCAAACTAGAGAACATTCCACGGAATCTACAAGATTATGTTGAATTTGACACCATATGGGGAACATATAAGAAAATTCGTAGCTGAAGAGATAGTTGTAATTACCCATCGATTTTTCTTTTAAATTTGTAAATTGTAATTTACCAATTAAATTAATCGAACAAGGAATGCTGCAAGTTGTCCGGTTGGATGGTATTTGTCCTAAACCGAACCGGTTTGAGTCCAAACCCGTAATATTCAAAAGAGGGGTTTAGGGTTTAAGAAAATCGAACCCTCACAAAAAAAAAAATTCCGCCATTTTTTCTTCAAGCTGCAATTGCCAATGGCGACTCACCGTGTAGAAGAAGACAATCAATACGACGGACAAGTAAACTCAAAACGACATCACTCCGACTCCGACTCCGACTCAGAAGAAGAAGAAATTGACGATCAAAATTGGGACGATTGGGAAGACGAAAACGACGCCGTTGAGGACCAAAACCTAAACCCTAAATTGCTTTGTCTGTTCTGCGACTCTCACTACGATTCCAGCAGTTGCCTTTTCGAGCACTGTGCTTCGGCCCACTTGTTCGATTATGGCGGAATCAAGAAAGCTTATAGCTTGGAATTCTACAAGTGTTTCAAGCTCATAAATTACATTAGGTCTCAGGTATTATACATAAAATATACTTTTTTTTTATTTGTTTTGTTTGTGTTGTGTAGGTTTTAGCAAGTATGTGTTAATTGGTTTCATTTGTTGTTCATTTTGTGAAAGTTTATGCTGCTAATTCTCCCTCAGTAACACTATTTTGCTCTGTGCCCAGCTTAATTGATTTCGTAGGTACTTATGTTGAATTGATTGAACTAATTTTTCTTTCTGAAAGTATAATGTGTGTGTTTCTGAGGAACAAGGGCGTTTTGTTGATTGTATTTTAGCTTGGACTACAAATAGTCGTTTCTTGGTAGTATATAGTATATGTAGTTATTTATATAATGTCTTGTTATCATTTTAATTTATGTTGGGATTTTACAGGAGAAAAAACGTGGTTTTTTTTGCTTCATGGGTATATTCAGTGGATTCTTATTCACGATTTGTTTTCGTGTCTCGGGTTGAAACTTGCTTCCCCTTTTCAGTAGAGTTCTTTGCCCTGTTAGAGGTGAAGAAAATTGATGCGGACATTACCACATCTTGAATTAATATGCAATTGTCTTTTTCCGAAATAGATGATTGTCGTTTTGGCAGTAAAAAGTTCGTTAAGACAAAAGTTTGTGGTAGAGAATGGAAAACGAGTAGTATTTGGTGTATAGAGAGGTTCCCTGATTTCTATGTGTGTTTACCTACTCTTTGATTAAAACGAGGTCTCAATTGAAGCCATCAGTGGGATAATATTACCATTTGATTATTTCATCAACATTATTATTAAACTTAAGTTACTATGTAGGTTATTTCATATTTTTTGCTTTCAATTATCAGGTGGCAGTAAACAAATGTTGGAGCTGCGGGGTCAAATGTTCGTCCAATGAAGACATGCAAAAACACTTGCACGCGGCGGTTAATTTTGATGGAAGCAGCTTTCCGTGGGATGACGATCGGTACCTCCACCCTTTTCTGCAAGATGATTCACTGTTATACAGTTTTGACGAGGATGAAGAAGAAGAAAACGACGAGGCCGATGCCATGTCTGTCGACACAAAGGAACTGGCGTCTTATTTGTCCCAGTTTGAGCGTATAGATATACATGATGAAGGTGCTTCTTCTAATGGTTTTCGAAATGGAGGAAAAGATGCTGACTTATCTTCTAATAAGGATACGAATACCGCAAACACTTCAAAAACTCCAATAGATGTCGACGCCAGAGTTCACTCAGAAAACGGGGTGTGTAAAAGTTCGTCACTGAAAATAGCAGCAAATGAGATCAAGGATATCAATAAGAATTATTTTGGCGCGTACAGTTCATTCGGCATCCACAGAGACATGATCAGTGACAAGGTACCCTTTTGTAACATAATTTTATTTATACCATATTCGTTCATTTAAGTCCTGGTCATATTACTATGGTGGTCTGAAGGATGTTATATTATGTCGTTATGCAGGTTAGAACCGATGCTTACAAACAAGCTATTACAGAAAATCCTTCTCTTGTAAGAAATGCAGTCGTTATGGATGTTGGTTGTGGAACTGGGATTCTAAGGTGGGTAGATACACTTCATTTTATGTCTGATTTCATGGAAATTCGTTGATTATATTTCCTCAAACTCTTTTTATGTAGTTAGTAAACTATCAATCATTTCCTCGATTTCCTATTCTGCTCCCATTATTTGCAGATGTTTATAGCCTTTTTCGCCTGATTTATTTTTGGTCTTTTTACTAGCCTATTTGCAGCTCGAGCAGGAGCTTCTCGAGTTATTGCAATTGAAGCTAGCGACAAGATGGCTGCAGTGGCTACCCAGGTATAACTTCGGATCGGCTATTAACTTTCTTCATAGTTTATTGAGAAGTATTTTTTAATCATCTATGATTTAAATTTCCTGCAGATTGCAAAAGATAACAACCTTCTGCAGAACGGAATTTCTAGTGAAAGAAACGGGGTTATTGAAGTGGTTCAAGGCATGGTTGAAGAGCTCGAAAATGCTGACCATATCCAACCACATAGCGTCGATGTATTAGTGAGCGAATGGATGGGCTATTGCCTGCTTTACGAGTCAATGCTCACCTCTGTACTCTTTGCAAGAGATAAGTGGTTGAAGATCGGAGGTGCCATGCTCCCCGACACAGCTACTATGGTGGGCCCCACTACCCTTACTTTTGTTTCCTAGTTTTCTACTTGAATTTCATTTATTTTATAGTAGAGCTATTTAGGGGTGAAAATCAAATGGATCGGGAGAAGTACTTTCGGAAAAATCCCAATTTTTTTTGGAAGTGAAAACTAATTCCAATTCCGTTCCAAAAAAATGGAAAATTGGAAATCGGAAATTCAGGATTTAGAAAGAAAAAACTCGTTCCAAGATCAGAAATTTTGATTTCCGATTTTTTTTTTCTAGAACAGAGAATAAGCACTTTCGAAAAAAATCCGATTTTTCCGGAAGTGAAAAACTAATTCCAGTTCCATTCCAAAAACTAATAGGAATTTTTTTGATCCGAAATGGTGAAATTGGCAAAATTCCAACTTTTTAGTCACTTAAGTTATAAAATGCATAATAATAACTATATTATAAGTGTAATCTTCGGAGAGAAAAAAAACAGAATTTACGGAATTATTTTCGAAAATTGAAATCGGAATTATTGGAATCAGATTTTGGAATTGGGAATGAAGAATATTGTTTCAAAATCTGAAAATTTCTGATTGGAATGGTCGGAAAATTGGATATTCTGTTCCAATTTCCACTACTAAGAGCTAATGGTTGTTGATATTTCCTTGTTCAGTTTGCAGCGGGATTTGGAAGAGGAGCTACCAGTATCCCGTTTTGGGAGAATGTTTACGGTTTCAATATGTCTTCTATTGGTCGTGAGGTTGTCGAGGATGCTGCTCGTTTTCCTATCGTTGATGTCATCGACAGTTGTCATATTGTTACGACCACTAAAGTTCTCCAGGTTTGTCTTTGGTATTTTCAATTTTATTTTTTGTTTCGAGTTTTAAACTTTTCGATTCAAATCATAAATAAATCTTGATTTTTTCAGACCACATTAGTTAATTCCACGATTTATTACGTTTTTTATACTGTTGTTTAAGTGATTTTGAAACAAATATATAACTCTTAAAATTTCCGATTTCCGATTTTTATATTTAGCAAACAATTCTTGATTCGATTTATGATTTATGTTACCAATTTTGCAATCTGATTGAAGTCTACTTTTTTTCTTTTTCAGAACTTTGACCTAGTATCGATGCAGCCTAAACAAATGGATTTCACAGCAGAAATCGACTTAGAGCCAAAACTCGTTTCTACATCGAACAATCCCACAAATTCTAAACCAGAACCCACTTGGTGTTACGGAGTTGTTGTCTGGTTCGAGACTGGATTCACCGACCGATTTTGTCGCGAAAATCCCGTTAATTTGTCCACGTCACCCTATGAACCGAGCACACACTGGTCACAAACCGTCCTCACTTTCCGCGAACCAATTGCAATGGCGTCGATTAGTGACGGAGAAAAATCGGGTGAAGTTGGTACGAGCGATTGTCCAGCTGTCAGAATACATGCTCGTATTAGTGCCGTACGAGCTTCGAAGCATCGCAGCATCGATATTTCGATGGAGCTGACGGGATTTGGGGCTGAGGGGCAAAAACGTAATTGGCCGGCGCAAATTTTTAATTTGAATTGATTTGTTTTTTTATCCTCTTGTGGTGGTTGAACTGAAATTTTGTCTGTTTTCTGTTCTGTTCCTGGGAAAAATGATGGTTGAAGCATTATTTCTTGAAAAAAATATATTTATTTATAATTGTAGTTTATGCACTATATCATAGACAAAGTCAAGTCGTTTTTATTTATTTTACCAAAATTGACATACACGATTGTTCGACCATATTTTATTTAGTTTAAAAATTTGAATTATTTTTATACACGAATTAAAATATATTCAATTTACATATTATAATTTCTGAAAACCAATGAGCTTTATTTACTTGAAAAAGTGGCCAAAATATGTAGACGAAGATTGTTAGCTATATAAAATATTTTTTAAGGAGTTTTGACCAACTTTTTCAAATTTTTTAATCCAAATCTATTTTATAAGGATATTTGAGATATTGCGAAAACAAGCCGAAAAACAAAAAAAAAAAACACAATCAAATTAACTTCTAAATTAATTATTTGAAGTTGTCTTTTGCAAAAACCACCAATTTGTATAAATAAATAAGTATTATAAATAACTAATTGATTTATTTAATAAACAATTTTGCAAAACACCATTTAATTGTTGTTGCAGCAACAAAAGATATTTATGTCCCGTAAGGTCCGATCTAGCGATTGGCGCAAGTGAATTTATGTCAATCAACTCAAGTTCGAATCCTCCTAACAACAATTACTAGGTCGAGCGAGTTCCTTCATTTAAAAAAAAAAACAATAGTCAAGGACTCGAGATTTATCAATTGGATTTATATGATTTGTTGCACTTTCTTCTTTGCAAGAATTTTTTATTTTTTATTGTTTAAACTGAAAACATGCACGTGGTATTAATTCATAACACATTCTAAGTACAAAAATTTCATAAAAGTTATCAACTTATCATTGTTTACACAATATATTGTCAATCATTAATCAAGCATACTTTTTTTTTTTTTTATATATATTTGCTTTGTACCATATAATATTGTTGGACTTTGTCTTTTTAATTTTTGAATAATAATATAATAATCTGAAAATATAAAATAAGGAAAAATAATGTAAATAAAGTAACTGTATCTCCAGAAGGTTTTGGAAAAGGCCAAGTATGGAAACTTCAGTCAAATAAAATGGCAATTGAAAACCCAAAATAATCGGAGAAAAACCAAACTCTTCGCTCATATACGGTCGCTCCAATCTCTTCTTCTTCATCATTTTTCTTTCACTTCAGGTATGAATCTGATCGTCGATGCTCGATTTTTTCCTTTTTTTTTTTTGTAGTAATAATTGCCTGCAAAAGTTTCCGTGATCGTTTCCAGTAATTTTCTCGTATCTTCTGTTAGGGATCGGATTTTATTTTTTCCTTCGTCGATTTCAATTTTTTGTTTTGTTTTGTTTCATGTTGTTTACAGACAGTTTCGATAACAGCATGTTAATCGCTTCTGAGTATTTTTTTTTTGTTCGGATATAAATGATTTTTTTCATGAAATTGGAATTTGTTTTTATATATTTGATGTTTCCGTGGATTTATTGGTGTTCGTTTGTTGATTATGGCGGTTTGGAGACGGAATGGAAGCTCATAGTGCATAATTTTTTTTGTTGATCAAGTGTTGAATTTTGGATATTAAGGAGTATTTTCTTTGATTTTGTCACAGAGCAATGGCCTGGTTCATGGCTGGGTCCAACGTGGCAAAGCTTGCTGTTAGGAGAAATTTATTGCAAAATTGTTCGTACGTTACACGGACGAGAATCGCTCCCTCACAGAATCGCTATTTCCAGACCACAGTTTTTAGATCGAAGGCACAATCTGCACCTGTACCTCGTGCCGTTCCACTTTCCAGATTGACTGATAACTTCTTGGATGGAACCAGCAGTGTTTACATCGAAGAGCTCCAGAGAGCGTGGGAGCAGGATCCTAACAGTGTGGATGAATCATGGGATAATTTCTTCAGAAACTTCGTTGGTCAGGCTGCCACCTCACCCGGAATTTCGGGGCAAACAATTCAGGAAAGTATGCGTCTGTTGTTGCTCGTGAGAGCTTACCAGGTGTACGGTCACTTGAAGGCCAAGTTGGATCCGTTAAATTTGGAAGAGAGGACTATACCCGATGATCTTGATCCTGGCCTTTACGGGTTTTCAGAAGCTGATCTTGATAGAGAATTCTTCGTTGGTGTATGGAGAATTCACGGGTTCTTGTCCGAGAATCGTCCGGTGCAAACATTGAGGGCGATATTGAAAAGACTCGAACAGGCTTATTGTGGGAATATTGGGTACGAGTACATGCATATCGCTGACCGTGAGAAGTGTAACTGGTTGAGGGACAAAATCGAGACTCCGACGCCAACTCAGTACAGTCCACAGCGGCGTGAGGTGATTCTTGATCGGCTTATTTGGAGTACTCAGTTCGAGAATTTTTTGGCGGCGAAATGGACTGCAGCAAAGAGGTTTGGGCTTGAAGGTTGTGAGACGTTAATTCCTGGTATGAAGGAGATGTTTGACAGGTCAGCAGATCTTGGGGTAAAGAATATAGTGATCGGAATGTCTCATAGAGGAAGACTGAATGTTCTTGGTAACGTTGTCCGGAAACCTCTCAGGCAGATTTTTAGTGAATTTAGTGGCGGCACAAAACCTGTGGATGAGGTTGGGCTTTACACTGGAACTGGTGATGTTAAATATCATTTGGGAACTTCTTATGACCGGCCGACAAGAGGGGGTAAGAGAATTCATTTGTCGTTGGTTGCAAATCCTAGCCACTTGGAAGCTGTGGACCCCGTTGTGATTGGGAAAACTCGAGCCAAACAGTACTACTCTAATGATGTCGATAGAACAAAGAATATGGGTATTTTGATTCATGGTGATGGCAGTTTCGCTGGGCAAGGCGTTGTGTATGAGACGTTGCATCTTAGTGCTCTTCCAAACTACACTACTGGTGGCACTATTCACATTGTGGTGAACAATCAAGTCGCGTTTACTACTGACCCAAGATCGGGTAGATCTTCTCAGTACTGTACAGATGTTGCGAAAGCGCTGAGTGCTCCGATTTTCCATGTTAATGGTGATGATGTGGAAGCGGTTGTTCATGTCTGTGAGCTTGCAGCTGAGTGGCGTCAGACATTCCATACGGATGTTGTGGTTGATATCGTGTGCTATCGTCGATTCGGACACAATGAAATTGATGAGCCGTCGTTCACTCAACCTAAGATGTATAAGGTTGGTGCTGTTTAGTTGCTTCACCACGTACTGTTTCGTTTATAGTATATAGAAGCTTCTTATATTGTTTACTTGAATGGTTTTTGTAGGTTATCAGGAACCATCCTTCGGCGCTTCAGATTTACCAAAACAAACTTCTGGAATCCGGTCAGGTTACAAAAGAGGGCATTGATCAGATAAACAGCAAAGTCCTTTCAATTCTCAATGAAGAATTTCTGGCCAGCAAAGATTACGTGCCTCAAAGAAGGGACTGGCTTTCAGCTTACTGGTCTGGTTTCAAATCTCCTGAACAGCTTTCACGTATTCGTAACACTGGGTAAAATTATTATTCATCATAATGTGAAGTTCTCTTTATAACTTTGTTCGGGGGCATTGACCACTTTCTATTTTTCAGAGTCAAGCCGGAGATCTTAAAAAATGTTGGCAAGGCTATCACAGTTCTGCCAGAAAATTTTAAACCACATAGAGCAGTGAAGAGGATTTTTGAGGATCGTGCAAAGATGATTGAGACAGGTGAGGGCATTGACTGGGCGGTGGGAGAAGCACTCGCTTTTGCAACCTTGCTGGTAGAAGGAAATCATGTACGGTTGAGTGGGCAGGATGTCGAGAGAGGTACTTTCAGTCATAGACATTCTGTTATTCATGACCAGGAAACAGGGGAACAATACTGCCCCTTGGATCATGTTATGATGAACCAAAACGAGGAGATGTTCACAGTGAGTAATAGGTATTTTCTTTTCCTTATCTCCGACACGCACACACACACACGCACACACAGATATATATATATATATATATATATATACACACACACACACACACGCACACACAAGCACACATTTGGATATTTGTTTTGAAATGGAGATAATTCTGATAATTGCTTTGTGCAAATTTTGTATGATTGGATATGCCTGTGAGAATATCTTTGTGTGTTTTAATTTCTGTATCCGAACCACGTCATGTCAAATACTTCTTGTTCTATCGCACACTCTTCGATTTTCCTCAGATTTTTCAACAACTGATCCAAAGAAGGGATGTTAGTACTTAATGTGCTTTGCAAGGGTTTCAACTTGTAATCCTGAGAACAATGAATAATTATCCTGCATTTCCAGATGCTAAAGCTCTCGATCAATCTACGTGAGTGCATTTTTGTGCAAATGGAATGCTGACTTCTGAATATTGGAGGATCGATTAAAGAATTTGTTTGTCGAATGACTTGGATGTTTTAGTAATAATAACTTGTTTTCTGCATTCAGGGGTATGAATTATGATTTATGATTTACGATCCATAAATTTTCAGTTTTTCTCTTGAAACATCGATAGAGAAGGCTTAAATACATTTTTGAACTTTTATGTTACTGCATTGGTTGTCAAGATTGTAAGCTGATTAAGATGATATCTGCTGCTTATTGTTTCCGTATTACTGTTTGTCTTATGCTCTGGGCTTGATAATTTTCTATTTGTTTGCATTTAAAAGTTTGATTTTATTTTTTTCGTTTACACTTATTTGCATTACCGATATGGAGTAGCCAACCTCTACCCCCCTATTCTTTGCTTCTCGGGTTCTTCAACTCCTTTCTAATCTCTTGGAAACTTCTATATGGATTGTATGTTTGTTCTAACAATTACTCTTTGCATGTATCCAGCTCGCTTTCAGAGTTTGGAGTTTTGGGCTTTGAATTAGGTTACTCGATGGAAAACCCCAATTCTCTTGTACTCTGGGAAGCCCAATTTGGCGATTTCGCCAATGGAGCTCAGGTGATATTTGACCAATTTCTAAGCAGTGGGGAGGCAAAATGGTTGCGTCAAACTGGTTTGGTGGTCCTTCTACCTCATGGATATGACGGTCAAGGCCCTGAGCACTCAAGTGCTCGTATGGAACGTTTTCTTCAGGTATCCTTCATTTTGTCAATTGTATATGCATCTACTAATGAAATATGTCTTGGTTTATTTTTTCATTCTTTTCTTGTTCTGTTTAAAATATGTCTCGTTTTCGTTTATTTTTTCATCAAGGAGAGTGAATTCGACATTCATGTTGTGTTTGCAGATGAATGATGATAACCCCTATGTTATTCCTGAGATGGACCCCACCCTCAGGACACAGATTCAAGAATGCAATTGGCAGGTGGTGAATGTCACGACCCCTGCAAATTATTTCCACGTTTTGCGGCGCCAAGTAAGCGGACTTGACTTCACTTAAGCTGCTATTCTCACAGCTGCCTCCATTATTATCTCACTGTGTTGCAATTTTTTATGGTACAGATACATAGGGAATTCCGTAAGCCTCTCATAGTGATGTCACCAAAGAATCTGCTTCGTCACAAGGAATGCAAATCGAATCTGTCGGAGTTTGACGATGTTCAAGGCCACCAAGGTTTTGACAAACAAGGAACGAGATTCAAACGCCTCATTAAGGATCAAAATGCTCACTCAGATCTTGAAGAGGGTATTAGACGTTTGGTTCTTTGCTCAGGAAAGGTGTGAAATATATTCCTAATGGTTTTAATGTTCTAAGAAATGTTATTTATTTTCGAACTTCTTATCATGGATTCAATTTATATATAGTTGTTAAGGTCATCATTTTTTTGCGGTCTGTTTTGCAGGTTTATTACGAGCTTGACGAAGAGAGGAAAAAAGTCAACGGAAACGACGTTGCAATCTGTAGGATTGAGCAGCTCTCTCCCTTCCCTTACGATCTCATCCAGCGTGAACTGAAGAGATATCCAAGTATGTCTCTTTCAATTTTGCAAATATACGATTATGCTATTAAAATAAAATAGTCGAACACGAAAGACTGTTCTCTTTTGCTCAAAATGGATACTTACTAGCCATAAACAAATATTCTCGAAAAATTCAATTACAACAATATCCTCTCAGGACCTGACATGTGGCACTTGAAACTCCAGCCACATAATTACTTTTAAGACAATGATTCATTTGATGTCTGTGGTCTGTGGTCTCGTTTGGTTGGGGAGATTAGCCAGGATTAACTAAATAATTGGACTTTGTTTGATGTTTGGTAAACACAATAATTCCTGGGGTCGACCCGGAAATATTATGTTATGATGTCTTATTTTATCTTATCTTGGTTAATCTCATCTTTGCAACCAAACGAGCTGAACTGTACGTATATTGGACTTCCCTAGTTCCAATTATTCAATTTGGGCCCTAGTAATAAAATTGCATAATCTTATCTAGGCAACCAAGCGAGGTCTAAGACTATAAACAAGGTCCTCAAATTAACTGATCAATTAATTAATATATTCTTTTTTGTTGCAAAATATTCAGATGCAGAGATAGTGTGGTGTCAAGAAGAACCGATGAACATGGGTGCATACAACTACATTTCAGTTCGACTGGGAACTGCAATGAAGGCACTCGGTAGAGGAACATTTGACGACATCAAGTATGCCGGTCGTGCTCCTTCTGCCGCCACAGCTACTGGCTTTTACCAAGTTCACGGCAAAGAGCAAACCGAACTTGTCCAGAAAGCTTTGCAGCCTGATCCAATCAGTTAAGAAACAAAAAATCGATATTTTTAGGTTTTTTTTATGAGAATAAAAAGTACATAGTTCACGAACACGATGATGGTGTGAAATAATTTCGAGTCTAACTCGATGATCCCGAAATACGAGAATATTATTGATATTTGCTTTGTATGAGTTAGTTGTTTGAGTTTATTAGGTTAAAAACCCGATTTTATGTCTGGTCATACTCGTTTCGATCCAATTTTCAACACTTCGTTTAGATTTTTCACTTTTTTTTCTTCCTTTCGTAATGTTGATGAATCGGACGACCGGGTCTTGGTTCAGCTAGCTTGTCTGATCTGGTTGTGACAACATTGCATTTGAGGTTGACCCTTTCTTCCAATTTCTTTTAGGATAAGAATATTCCAAAGAAAAGGAATCACGTTAAAGAAAAGCAAAAGTAGGCACACGAGGGACTTTTTAAGTCTGATTTTGACCATTTTCGAGTGTGAATTTGACAAAAGTCAAAGCACGAAATCTGTAGTTCTATAAGTTAATTTTCTAATTCAACTTGAATCACAAAGATTGTATGTTGAATGAGAAAGGTACGGAAGAATCAATGAACCGCGTTCACAACTTTGATGGTTTGAATTATCGTAATTCATTCATACATAACTTTGTGACATTAGATCTTGTTGATTCAAGTTGGACTAGAAAATTAACTCAAATAACTATAATTTTCGTGTTTTCGAATTTTGCCACAATCAGACATATTGGGTCAAAATCACGTTAAAAGTCAAAACCATATTAGTAAAATTGAAAACCACATTTGACATTTCAGATACCATAATTATATACATTCTTGGAACTTCACCTAATATTAGAGTTTATTGCATACCCATGCATTATATTAAATTGTTAAAAAACTACCCCATGTTTTTAAGTTATACTGGAGTTTTTGCCAATAAAATAATATTATCAAGTTGCTCAATGTGTATGAATAATATTATTTTTCTCTTATCATCATATGAATTATTGATCAAATGAGTTTCTTTAATTGAATTTTGAGTAACATATATCAATAAATTTAATCTTAAAAATAAACAATTTGATTAGTGAAATATAAAAAAGTGTGTACATTAAATTTTTTTATATATAGATTACAAATAAAAAAAAATAGAAAATAAGATTTAAACTAACTCAAGAGTAGCTATCATAATTACAAAATCCATTGAATGTGTCATTTATTTAATCAATGTGTAAATGAAAGAGAAAGATAATAACTATTAAAACGCCCATTAAGAAAAATCAGAATTTATTTTTGCACCTTTATAGGGAATTAGGGATTATCACCATAGCCTTAAAAAATAAAATAAATACCAATAAAATAAAATAAGGGATAAATTCATTCAAAATAAAATAATACTAATAAATAAGATTTTAAGTTCTTCACGTATTTGAATTATAATCGGCAAAATAAAATTATTTCGAAGAATTCAAATAAAAAAAAAACTTCTTTTCTAAAAAAAATAAAAATAAAGTAGCTAGTAAATTTCTCATTTTATTTAATGCTACACTCAGTTAGAAAACACCGGATGATTAAATAATCGTTGATCTGCATATAATGTTTAAAAATCACCCGATGTATATGACCTGATGTATCATCTCGATAACCGATCACTCATAATAGTTTTGATTTTTGAAGAGTTTTTCCATTAATTTTTGCAATAAATAATAAATAAAATTAATAATAATAAGTAAAATCTAAAATTTATGGGCAGATTATTTTCAGATTTTCTCTTGGGTGTCGTGATTGTTTGAATTTTAGTCAAAATCAATTTAATTCACACACAATTTAATTATTATATTATTATTTTATATATTATTAAATTAATATTATTATATGGAAAGAATCCAATATGAATCCAATTACAATCTATTAATGCCAAAAAAAATATATAACTGCATATTTCACCTTTTTCGAAAATAAAAAAACTCTCCTTTCATAACTTCTCTCTTTCTCTCTCTCTCTCTCTTTCTCTCTCTAACCCAAATCGCAGCAGAGGTAACTTCTTACCCACCGGCGCACCACAGGTTATATTTACACGCACATATACACACACACATAGATACACACATATATATTAATTGTCGGTGTATATTGTGTACTAATACAGTTCGATTTTGTGCTGTGTTTTTACTTTAACTAGAGGCGAAGGGATTCGAAGAGGGGAATTTTGATGTACTTGTTTGCCGATCTTTACGTTGATGATGATTTCTTTGGAGCAAAAAGGTAATTTTGTTTTTCTCTGTTAGTTTTTTTTCCGTACATTACTGTTCATCGTTTGAGTGAATTGAATTGAATTGAATTGAATTGAATTTCTTCTTCGATTTGTGTTAAATTGGGAATTAGGGGAATTATGAATTTCTACGATTTTTTTTTACTGGCGATTTTGGGGAGTGGGATTTAGGGTTAGGTTTTCGGCTTGAAATCATGGGGCTTGTGTTTCTGGTAGACTTGTCTGTATCTAATTTGTAAGTATAATCCGAAACTAATTTGTGTATGAGTAGCAGTAATCAAAACACTTGTGAAATTCTCACGGAAAAGCATGTATTTTGTGAGTTTGATGAAGTGTTTGTGTCTGGGTGTTGGCAATTAAATAATTACTTTTCGATTTTTGTGGATGGTTGAAGTTGCACAACGGGTATTTGTTTGCTCGATTTCTCTCTGGTTCGTATGATATATTGTCTGAAAAGGTGTGAATTGAGATAGTCGAGGACAATGCTGATTTATATATTTACTTGCAGCAGATCTTTTTTCGTGTTAGAATCATAAGAGATAGAAGTAAACGGAAACAACTTTCATGTGTCTTTTAATGGAACACAAAACTTGAAATTAGAAAATATCAGTAAAGGCTTGTTGTTTGTCCTGAGATGGGAATATTAGATTTCGATTAGTCCTATGCTTGCCGCTTGCCACCATTGTTCGATGAAATATGTCTGTCACACACGACAATATTTTTAGTTTTTTCAGTTAATGCAACATCATATGCCTGCTACTTGAGGCCTTTTCTTTAGTCTATAGGGTAGCTGATTCGTCCATATAATAGATAAATTATTGTCTCCAGAACTTGTCATCGGTTTTTTTTTTTTTTTAAATTTTGTATCAAATAACTCATCTTGTTATTCTTACATTGCTACATTTGTGTAATTCAGTCTAATTGGTGAATACTTATATATTGCTATAAAATACACGTCTCAAAAGTTGAATTCTTTGATATGCAGTTACTATGCAGAGGAACCACGAGGCATCCATAATAAGCCTCCAAACAAAAGCTCGCCCCTTCACACCACAACATAACATAACCTACTCTAAATGCTTCCCCGATTTTCAAGACACCTCACATGCTTCTCAATCGGTTGGGAATGTTCTAGAACCAGAGCGCCCATTAAACAGCGAGCTTCTAGAATGTTCCGGAGAATCTCCACAAAGGCCCGTTTATCATCTTAACTCTGGAACATGGTCTCTCTACTCTGACTCTAATCAGACCCCTCTTTGCCAAGCAAACCCTTTTCATGGACTCTTCAAACCTTATGCGGTGAAACATAGAATCCAGTGTGCGCCTGTACACATGGTGGCTCAAGCTTATCCGTACGATTATCAGTTTCACGATTTCCAGTATTTAGGTGTGATCGATTTCGAGGCAACTTGTGACAAGGGGAAAACTCCTTATCCTCAAGAAATCATCGAATTCCCGTCTGTCATTGTCAGCAGCATTACTGGGCAGTTAGAGGCTTGTTTTCAGACGTACGTAAAGCCCACATGCAACCAACTTCTAACTGATTTCTGTAAAGATCTTACTGGAATAGAGCAAACTCAGGTTTGTGCATCCGTTCACCCCTTGTTTTTATGCATATGTGTATGTTTCTATGATGTGTAGATTTCAATATATTGATTTAGTTATTATTACAGAGTCGTTGCAGGAAAAAAAAGTTGTAATTTGCATTTCTTGATCTGTGGATGAATAGTACTTTTATTCCATAAACGGACAAGCTTTTAACTATATGCGGTGCTTTAAGAAAAATTCCCACTGTCCATCTCTTGTAGAATTTGTTAAAAATTTAGTTTTCTAAAGCCTGTTCAAATTGCTGATAAACTGAACAGAAAATTATCAGAGAGTTCAATTGCTGATAAGACTGGTAAATGGTGAATGTAATTAGAATGCTAATTAGTGAGTTAAATTGCATTTTGACGGATGAAAATGATCCAAAACACAGCCGTATATATGCTTGTTAATATCTTAAACTTGCGTTTTGTTCTTCGGAGGTACCTGATATAGATATCTTTTGTCTTTTATAGGTTGACAGGGGAATTCTACTAAGTGAAGCTCTTCTTAGACATGACAAATGGCTCGAAATGAAGGGAATAAAAAACGCCAACTTTGCGGTCGTAACTTGGTCGGATTGGGATTGCCGTGTGATGCTGGAAACAGAATGCCGTATCAAAAAGATCAGAAAACCCCCATATTTCAATAGGTACATACTGGAAAACCTTGTAAACAATAATCTCACATTTAAAAAAAAAAAAATTAAAAAAATCTTTAACATGATATATTTTCAACACCTTTTTCGCCCAGATGGATCAATTTGAAACTCCCATTTCAAGAAGTCTTTGGCAGCGAGAGATGCAACTTGAAAGAGGCGGTCGAGAAGTCCGGGCTGACGTGGCAAGGCCGGGCCCACTGTGGACTCGACGACGCCAAAAACACGGCCCGACTGCTCGCTCTGCTCATGCACAGAGGGTTTAAATTCTCCATAACAAACTCGCTCGTTTCTCAATCGAGTGAGAATGACTCAACGCGTAAACCGAGCCAAGAAAGCCCGATTTTCGTCCCGACACAACAAGCCCAGAAAACGGAGCACACCCGTTTCTGCTACTGTGGGGTGAAAAGTGGGAAAGGAATGATTAGAAAACCGGGCCCGAAACAGGGGAGCGTCTTCTTCGGGTGTGGGAATTGGACTGCTGCTAGAGGTGCTCTTTGCCAATACTTTGAATGGGATTCTCAGTGACATTTTTACTTATAAGGAAAAAAGGGAATCTCTTTGGTGATATATTAATTTATTGCCAATCTTGTATAAAGAATTTTATTGGACTCTGGATTTTTAATTTTATTTTCTTAATTGGAGGCAAACTTAGGTTTGCTGTTAGGGTGGTTGTGTTATATAGGTCAATCTATGCTCTGCTTTTTTAGTCATGCAATGGGACTTGATTTGGACAAGCTATTAATTATGTCACTGAATGATTTCAAATTATTGCGCTATATCGGCATGATGCTTATATATAGTATGTATTTTCGGCGTTCGAATATTTTTTTTTTATTCAGAGTTGTACTGGGAAGTTAGTCAATTGTTACCTGGAGTTATTGCTATAGCATATTATTGTGTGAGAAATAAAATATTGGATAAAATTACGATCACCGCAGATCTAAGATCAAATTATAAAAAAATTCCATATTTTTTTGGTAATTACAACAATTACCCTTCTCAACTATGTATGAAAAAACTCCTCATTCAATAGGTAAATTTGACACCGTAAGAGAGGAGTGTAAGATAATACATAGTTGAAGGGAATAGTTGTTTGTAATTTCTAGGTTTTTTTTTTGGCTGCACCTATTTGCAATCTCAAAATTTCTAAGTGCAAGACCTTACTTCATGCAAGACCAAAATATATATAAATTTACTAAGAGCAAGACTGGAAATTACAAATATGACTCCAATATTAATTTTAATATTATTAATTCAAAAAATGCCTAATTGCTATTGCAAGACCAAAAAAATAAAAAAATAAAAATGACCATTCTTCTTCACCAACAAAACCCAACCTCTTCTTCTTCACAAAAAAACTCTTTCATATTCTCCAAAAACCCTCATCAAACAAAACCCTCAAATCTTACTAAAACTTGAAAAGAACGACATTATGGACACACGCAGTGGCGGATTTACTAAGGGGCAGGGGGGGGCAGCCGCCCCCCCAGAAAAAAATATTCCAACTTTTTTTTATTGCTTTTTGGCATATTATTATACAAATATGTGTTTTTGCCCCCCCTATTTTTATTTTCTTCTCTATTCTTTTATGTAATTTTATATATTCTTTCTCTATTTGTTATTACAATATAAAATACAACTACTAAAATATATTTTTTTACTTCAAAATTATAAATATATACTTATTTTAGCAATATTTTGTGAATAACCCGAAAAAAAATTCGGGGGCGCTGCCCCTGAAATCTCCAAAATTATAACCTCCCGTTGGATATATTTTTTCCTAAAAAAATCGCCCCCCCTTAAAATGTTGTCTAGATCCGCCACTGGACACACGAAACATTAATATCGATGATTCTAAGGTCGAAGAACACAACGAGATAAGAAATGTTGTACTTTAGTTAGCATTGTGATCGTTTTTTCGTTTTTCGAAAATAATTTCGCGTACACAAAAATTCGACGTTTACAGGTCGATATTTAGCAATAAAAACGACATTACAACGTCGATTTTCTCAGTTTCAGAAAAATCGACGCCAACATGTTGTTTTAATTGCTAAAAATCGACACACTGATGTCGAATTTTGAACAAAATATCGACACACAAATGTCGAAAAAAATGCAAATAATCGACAATAACTTATTGTCGAAATTTAGTGAAAATTTTGACACTAATATGTCGAAATTTTACAAAAAAATCGACAAGTACATGTCGATATTTTAAAAAACACAATTCCTTCAACAATGGTGGTGGAATCTAACCCTAAAATCATACCCTATGTTCTAAATGGACTTGTGGCGACTGTCGATTGCAACGACGACGGCGGTGGTGGTCAACTTCATCGGCGACGGCGCGCCGGCGAATCTGCAAATGGTTCTCTTCTTCCCTCCTTCCCGTTCTTCAATTGCGTTGGGTGTCTTTTTCTTTTCTTTTTTCTTTTCTTTTTTCTTTTCTTTTTTCTAATTTGGTCTTGCAAGAGTAATTGGTGTAATTATGTTTTATTTTGTTTATGTTTTACTAAGGTCATTATAGTCTTTTTACATTTAATTTGATATAAAATTTTATTTGGTCTTGCCCTAAGTAAATTTTGGATTGCATATAGTCGCGGTTTTTTTTTTTTTTTTTTATATAATTTAACCTTGGCTGCGGCTATATGCAAGACTAATTCCACTTGTGCAAGACCAAATTAAAATTTTCAATGTATAAATACTATAATACCCTTATTTATTAAAAAAATAAAAAATTCCAAATATGCAAGACCAAAAATTCAAAAACACAAAAAACCCTATCACAAGACCACAAAACCCAAGACCAACTATCATCTTCTCCATCTTCCAAAATTCACAAGACCTTTCTCATTCCTCCTCCATTAACCCACAAAACCTAGAAATTCAAAATCATCAAAACTCAACAAATCTTACAAAGATGGCAAGTATGGAGTCAGAAGACATCAAAATAGAAGATTCTACGATGGAAGAACCCAAGAATGTATGCATTTATGGGTTTTTTTAGCTAGAATATCGATTTTCCAAAAAAAACCCGCGCAAACGAATTCGACATGTACAGGTCGAATTTTACAGGTAAAAATCGACATTTAGATGTCGATTTTGAGGTATAAAATTCGACATTTAGATGTCGATTTTGAGGTATAAAATTCGACATTTGAATTTGTGCTACAAATTCGACATGTCAATGTCGATTTTTACCTATGAAATTCGACGCTTAAGTGTCGATTTGTAGTATAGTTTTTCGACACCTTGGTGTCGATTTTTGTTTTTTTCTCATTATTTGTATTTGGTCTTGCATGAGAAAAAAAAGCCAATTTAATTTATGGGCATACTTGTCATTCCATCTTAATAAAATAGAATCTTTTGGAATCTTTCTTTAATTTGGTCTTGCACAAGTGGAATGAGTATTGCATATAGCCGCAGCCTTTAACCTTACTTCAGGGGTGGCCGTAATTTACCCTAAAATACTAGAGACAAGATCGATTGTTCATTCACTTTTACATGTGCGAAAACAATATGAAAATTTTACATTACCAAGTAGTATAAAACGTGGTTTTCAATATGTGTTACTGGTAATTGTTGTGATAAAAACGAATTTGACAGTGAATTTCCAAAACTTACAAAATTGCCTGAAAATTGGCAATGAACTTATGAGTATTGACAACGAACTTGCACAAAAAAGAAAAAAAAAAAAGAAAAAAGGGTGAAAATTGGGACTTTTAACCATTAAGTATTTAAATAAAATATAGTTGCAAACTTATGAAATTTCCTGAAATTGACAGTAAAATTTTAAAAATTGGCTGAAAATTGAGAGCGTACTTATGGAAATTGGTAGTGAGTTTTTGAAAATTGGCAGTGAACTTATGTATTATGAGTATTGACTTAAAATTGGTCGTGGACTTTTCAACATCGAGTATTTTAATAAATAATGGCAATGAACAACTCAAATTTGGCTGATTGATGACAAAGAACTTGTCAAATTGACTTAAAAGTTGAAAACATGTAAAAATTGGCAGTAACTTTGACAGGCCTAGGAAATTAAATACCAAGGAAGAAATACAACTTATCTAAGAAGAAGGATATCAAATTGAAAAACTAAATATTGGGTAGACGTTCTTATTAAAAACCTAACCATTGTCTTAATCCAGGCATATGTCAATCGTCTCGAGTAAGATCGGAAACTAGAATGAAAATTTCAATTTCGACTGGTTCGATCGGATAATTTTCAATTTTAAAAGTTATTTGCATTTAAAATTCTAAAAATTCTGAATTCTGACATTTCATTTTTTTTGGAATACATGGCGATTTCCATTCTAAATTTAAAGTTAAAAAATAATTTTATGAATTCCATTTTATAAAAAACCCTGCTCTTATATATCATAATAATATGCATTTTAGACTCTAGTTAAATAAAAGAGGTCAATTTCCGCAAATTCCGAACCGAAAAATTTCAAAAAAATCCCTATTTTTTGGAACGGATACCAAATTAATTTTCCATTTCTAGAACAAAAATATTTTTCTTACGGGAGTGGTAATTAATTACTATAAAAAAAAAAGAATTTTCTTTCTTGCTGCAAAGATGAAAATGAAAAAAAAAACCTCTCTCTGATTAATTTAACAATTATATCTAATACAAAAACTAATAAAATTCTAAAGAAATAAATAAACAAAAAAATCCAGAATTAAATATGAAAAATAGTTAGCTAATTTTTCACAACTGTTGATAAGTGGGTATATGAACACCTAACTCCTCAGTGAGTTTTTTGTAAGCATATTGCAATCTTTTAGTAATGGGTCCCACTCCACCATCCCCAACTGTGCGTCCATCAATTTTTATTACCTAAAAAACATTTCAAAATTAGCAGCATCTTATTTTTATTTATTTATTTATTTTTTCATGTATTACAAATTTATTTCCATTACTTTACAATTAATTATCAAAATCAATTAATTAATCGATATTTATTTGATAAATAGATTACTTACCGGACTGAGTTCGCCCATGGATCCGGTTGTGAACACCTGTAGCGAAAATAGTCGAACAATGGCATAGTGAGAAAAATTGGTTCTCCGTTGTTACTTTAGAAATATTATCCTAATTTCGTCGAGTGAAGGGTATTTTAGTCATATTATATAGTTTTCTCCTAGTCATATTTTTATAATATATGTGCCGAAACCTTAAACGACATCGGACTCATGATGCAGTAAATTTGAGATGAAAATGAAGAATAATAAGAAAAACTAGACCTCGTCTGCTGTATGGAACTCCGATAAACTAATTCGTCGCTCTCGTAAAACCAAATTTTGCTTCACCACAAGTTCCATCACCTACCAAAAAAAAATTAATTAATTTTTTATAATAATAATATAATAAATACAGGTTTAAGTTCAATTTTCGAAGTGATGTGCACAAGAAAAACTTACGGTTGCTCGTGTTATTCCTGGAAGACAGTAATCGGCGTGAGGTGTTGCAACGCAGCCTTTCTTCACCAAAAACTGCAATTTCGGGTGGGTGAATAATTAAAAAAAAAAAAGCAGTTTGCTATTATATTTCCATGAGCAATAATTGTAATAAATATAATATTTAATGCATGAGCATGATTTATAATTTATCACAATCCAAAAGAACTTACTATATTTGTGGCATTCGTTTCCGATACATAGCCATCCTTGTCGAGCATGATTGCATCATCCGCGTATGAATTATTCCCTTCAATCTGCACTAAGTCAATTTATTTATTAATTTATTTTCACAATTAAATAGAACTGCCTAAATATGACAATTCTTCGAGAAATCACTTCTATCATTAACTTTTTTGAAAGGTAACGGAATAAACTGATTACGATGATTGTACCTTGGCAAGAATATTGTTAAGAAGGTTGTTGTGGTGAATTTTCGAATCCAAATTCTGCACAAATTACAAAAATGCCATACTCATCCAATGTTAAATAAGAATTATATTTCATATAATACAATTGATAATATATATCAAGAACGGGTTTCAAGTTTCGGTACTGGAATACTAAAACGAAGGAATAATAATACCAACATCCATATAATTAATAACACCTCAAGAACGAATAGGTCAAGTGTAAAAACAAAATAAAATAATTAAATGAATTTAAATAAACCAAGTAGCTACAATTATTTAAGAACTTACGTTAGGTGAATTACGGCGCGTGGTTGCTGTAACCAAAGTTATACCGCTTTCATTGTCGTAGACTGGCGGCTTCCATTCAGCAAGGACTGTCCGGAAATATATATACAACAAATATTTGATACATATTTATGTTATTCTATATTGCTTGGTTTTTATAAATACTATACATATATATAATACATATACTATACGAATAACGTATTTAATGACTAAAAGATGCAAAAATGCATTGTACCAATCAAAGTGCATCCATAGAGGTTGAATGCTGGACTCATTCCCGAGGTCACCTAAGAATTGGAACGAGTAAATAGTATTTTTTTCATTATAAACAAAAATCGAAAGTAAAAACTAAGGAACAAAAAAAAAAATATTTGGAATTACCTTCTTTCCACGAGTCAAAGTTAGTCTAATGTGGGCATTATGGAACATTCCATTCCTTATTAGTGTTTTGAAGATAGCTTCTTTCACCTGCAACACGTCATTTATATATTTATACGTCGCTCGAAAGAATATACACTAAAATGAATTGCAGAGTGAATGATTTTAGCTAGCAGCTTACATATTCTCGAGTTGGTAAATTATTGAAAGCCAGAGCTTTTGCCGAGTCGAACAACCTGGAAATTAGACCTCGCAGTTATATACGCTGATATATATATATATATATATATATATAACTCCACTAATTACTTGCACAAATAATATTTCATTTCAAGAATTACCTGTCTAAATGTTCCTCGAGTTTAAATACCTTCCCGTTATAAATTCGCAGGCCCTCCCAAACTGCATCGCCACCTTGCACAACCGAGTCGAAAACCGAGACCTGAAAAAATATGTTGCACGAAGATCATATACCTTTTCTTTCCGTAGAAGAAAAAACGGAAGTGAAAGCTAGTTAGTTAGGATTATTACATTGTCCATAATACAATAATGCAATACTAAGATTAAATATCCTTCATATGCTTGATTAAAATTCGGAAAACTAAAACAATTTTGACAAGCCCTTGATTATGTAGTAAATCAAGTCATATCCTACCTTTGCACTTTCGCGTGGCACAATCTCATCACCTACCCAAGCAAGCAATTTGGCATTAGCGAAAACGGGAAGTTTTGGATTGAGAGCTTTTGTAGTGTTCATTCTCACATAGCGCTTTAGAAAATCGTAAAAGGGCATACTTTGCTCCAATAATTCGTACAAAGACGATGGAAATGCCTGAAGAAATATTGTATAAAGAGGGGTTTATAAACATAATTGGGCCCCACACACACACACACACACACACACAGATATATATATATATATATATATATATATATATATATC